AGAGGTCTATCATAGACTTAAAGGCTGTGTCAAGACTGAGGGAGAGGACAAGCAAAAGTATGGGACCTGTGGATTTGATGGGAATGATTCAGGACTTGATGTCTCAAAACAGCCACCTGATAGACAGCATGTTGAAGCAAAGGTCTGAATCTTTGGAGAAGATGGATAAGCTGAAGGATGAGGTGAGGAAGCAGATTCTGAGAGGACAGAGGCAGGGGAAGAAAGAAATGAAGGACATGAAGCAGAAAGTGGAGGAGATGGTGGGCAAAAAGTTGAAGAAGATGGGAAAGAAGCTGAAAAGCCTAAAGGATGAGAACAAGAGACTGAAGAAGGAGAACCAAAGGCTAAAGAATGCAGCCATAGATGCAGCCATGGAGCCACATGCCACACAGCCTACTCCTTTGGAGTAGGACAGGTTCATTCATTCATCTTTAGCTTCCAAAATTTATTTTTAGTTTGAGTCTTGGGATAGTTTTCTTAATTTTTAGTTTTATTTTCATACTTGATTGCATGATCATTGCATATAATTTTGATAACATAGCCTAAATAAATTTGAGGGTAAATAGCCATTCACTTACTAATTGTGTTCTTGCTAGAACTAGCATGTGTCTTTTCTTGAGCAAAATTCCACTCACACACCAATGCACAAAGGGGTATGATTTAGGCCATTTTTCATGTATAACTCTCATAATAGCCACTTGTAGCCTTATACACACTATCCACCCAACATAGCCAATGAGGGCATTATCAAAGTTCCAAGTTTGGAGGAGGGTATACCACAAAAGCCACAACTTCAATACCAAAAGAGCAAAGCTCTAAAGCCTTTGTGGGATCTGTTTTGAAGCACAAAAATGTCCTATAGGGGCAATGTGCATGCTTTCATCATAAAGAGCACAAAGTGCCAAAAATTTAAAAAATTGAATGATGAAGCATAAAAAGAAAAAAGGCAAAGTGAGAAAAGAAAATAGCCAAAAGAGAGGAAAACCTTAAACAAGTCCTATTGACCTTATCAAAAAGAGGTGTGTTGAGTTCATTAAAGAAAAGACTAGTGCTAGCATATGGTCATACATAAGAAGTAGGGTATGAATGGTTTGCTAAAAATCTATGAAGGGCTATGATGTTCATAATGATATGTTTTGTGTTGTGTGTGCACTTACTGCCCTAATCTTGTATATTTTACTATATTGAGTCCTTTTTTTGTTGTCATTTGGTTGGTTGGGGACAAGCAACACTTTAAGTTTGGGGGTGTGATAAGCATGTTTTATTACATGCTTAAAGTACCCTTTTCCTTTGTTTTATAGGTAGATTCTTCTAGTTTATCCCAACCTTGAGTCATTTTTACTTCCATATTTTTCATTTATTATGTTTGGAGCTAAATATGGTGATGGATTTGTTTTTACAACAAATTAGGAGTAGATGACATTTTTTGACTCACAAATACTGCACTATGATGCTGCAGCATTCCAGCAACATTGATCTGATCCGGTTTGGCTTTTTGGAGAAGTGCTTGATAGTTCATCCATTTTCATGAAGGAAGTCTTAGCTGAAAGAACCGTTGTTTTTCCCTCAAACAGCTGGTGAAAAGAGTTGGAGAGGACTTTTTGATGACATTTTGTGATGGAGATGATACCTCCTTTCCTTGTGTCTTCATGTGTACTTTCACCCATTTTTATGTTTTTGTCTTTAGTTGAATTGTGGGTATAAAAGAGGGCCTTGGGGTGCCTCTTTAGAACCACTCCTGGACACTTGATCTTCCATCTTTTGCTCCAAAACACTCTCAAACTCTTAGTTTATATTTATGCAAACTTTTAAGTTTTTATTTAAATATTGTTCTTCGTCTTAAAGTGCTGTAGCATTAGCAGTCTTTTATTTATTTATTTTTATTATCATTTACTTCTCGTCTTTACTTTCTATCATTTATATTCAGTCATTTACATTTCAGTTATTTACATTCATGTCTTTACTTTATGTCATTTATTTATGTCATTTACTTTCCGTAATGAGTAGCTAATTCCATTAGCTCGGGTGTAGGGTAAAGGGTGAAATTTTAAACCAAATGAAAGTGGACTTTGTTTCGCAATAGCAATGTTCCACTATTTCATTCAAGTTTTATAAAACCAAGCACACTTCTTGACGAGTTGATCACTTTGAAAGTGTTAAAGTGTCATGGACTTAAAGATAAGCCAAGATAAGCACGTCAGCTTGAATGATATAAGAGGTAGACTTGAGAAAGTTACCGACAGCCATTTATGTTTTTCAAACTTAACTCCCGACGAGTTGGTCACTCTCTAAAAGTGTCAAAGTGTGATAGATTCAGAGATGAACTATCAAGAACACGCCAACTTGAATGATATGGGAATCAGCTCGAAATAGTGATTTTTAACAAAGATATTTGTTTAGCCATATATCTTGAAGACACCATTTTGCTACTATCTCTGGTCTAAACACCACATAGAGATATGGTTGCCAAGCTATAATATAATGCAAAGGTGAAGTCCGAGAGGAATACCTTCAAGATAGATGGTGGAACTAGTTCTTCTACAGCTTTGTCTGCTGGATTTTGTGTTTACGTTTCACCCCAAATCTTACACCCGTGCTACCTTTATTATTCTGTTATATTATCTGTGTTAACTCAGAATCAACCTGAAGTCTTCATTTTCGTCATCTGAAATCTTTTCTTTTATTAGACTCTTATTTAACTTTTGCTACAATCCTCGTGGACGATAATCCGGTACTTGTACCACTTTATTACTTGGAAAGACGATATTGAGCCATATTGTATACTTGCTTTGTGGCCCATTTTTATTAGTCTAAAGGTGATAGTAATAGCCCGACCAGTTACCGTATGATAAAACTCTTTAGTATATAAAGAAGCTAAAGGATGGTTTTTACTAGTGCTTTTGAAACCCTAGTTTTGAGAAAACTCATAACCTCCCTTTCTCCCATATTAACGACCATCTCTCCTAATCAATTGTGCCTAGCAACACAAAGAAAGAAGATAATTGCATTTTTTTTTCATCTGAGGAAGAACATGATTAGATTCGTTCATATTGATACCGTGGAGACAACAGTCCGAAAATTTGAGCTAAGATTCAAAAATGACAACAAAGGTTGTTTCTTGTTAAACATAAAAATTTGAATACCCATCATATCCTGTTTTGTATGGATTCTTGGAGAAATATAGTTAATGTTGTTGCATGTATGGCACCCGTATTCCAACATAAACATTATATAATATTTTACGAAGAACCCAAATAAGATTCTACAAATTTTGGATACGATGGACTAACGGTTAACCCAATGTATTCATTATTCTTTTTAAATGGGTTTACAATAGTTATTTAAAGGACGGGGCTTTATAAAACAATTCAAGTAGGTTGGGATAAATGTAAAATGTCAATTGTCAAAAATCTTTTGGAAGGGTTTTGCATCGAGGAGTTTTGATGTGGCAAAAGGAAAATAACCACTACAAACTTATACTTTGGGATGCTCTAATACGAGTCAAAGAATAGTGGAGAACCTCTTGCTGTTTTTTGGAATTTGACATGAGAAAGTGTCAACAAGCTTCTCAACTTCCTTTCATCTTCTTCGAGAAAGGCCTAAACAGAGCCCTCGAAGATTTGTTTTATTCAAGGCCCAGACATATGAAGAGGCTACTTTCTTTCGTGATGTTTTTAACTTGATGGTTGGTACAACACACTACTTTCAATTCAACAAAACAGCTTTTTTTGGGCTAATATCGTTAATGTTAACAAAGTTTCACTTTGGTCATTGAAGTTCTTTTTGTAGACATTTAGTTCTCAACATCTGAAATTATGTCTTAATGTTATCAAATTATTTGGTTCAACTAGTTAAAATATTTTATGGCACGAGTTAAAAGAGCCGATATGTACAACTAATGAATCATACAAGTATTTGGCTATTCTCACTATGCCATTTTGGTTGAAAAATATCATCATAAATGTGAACCTCGGATTCTAGTGGGTGTGGTTGGTTTTTACAAATCCTTGTCTCCAATTCCTCTTTGTATATTTGTATTTTATTTATAGTTGTCGTCATCATTGTCAAAACTATGTACTATGAAACTTCATTTTCTAGGCAATATTCGAATCTACTCATTCAACCTCATAGTTGATCTTGTTTTTTTTTTTTTTTTTTGTTGTTTATTCTCGAATATTTTTTTTAGAGGTTGTTGAATTTAAGGGAAGAGTCGGTTTCTATTAGTAAAAGTTGAAGAAATCAAGGGTTGTTGGTGAGAATTAGTAGCAGTTGTAAGTCGTATTGTGCAGTGGTAACCACCACCACCTCATCGGAGATTCATTTCAAATAGAAGAAGGTCAAAACTTATCTTTTCTCAATCAGGTTCTTTACGTTTAAATTGGAATTGTGTGATCAAAATAATTTCATGGCAAAAGATTTTTCCCTATCACTTCCTGACCCTTGAACTATTATTTCTATCGCCAACTCATGAAGGGATTCTACCTCCTCTTCTGATGCCAAGTTTACTCATTCAAAATCTAAAAAAAATTAATGATTTTTGTTACAAGCCAGGAAAAAGTAACTACATAAAGTAGACATCAACATGTTCGTAGAAGTTGGAATCTAAGCCAACAACCTCAAACAATCGCACCGGTTTCAAGTGAAAGGTTTACAACATTGAGACAACGTTTTAAGTTTAGTATTGTATCTCTCAAGAGACAAGTATTCTTCAAAAAGACAAAACTCACACCACAAGATAAGGACTGAACTAGGAAAAAGAACACCTTCAAGGACCAAACAGTCCTATGTGAAACTTGGTTACTCTTTAATGAAATTAAGAATTTGTCTGTATTCAAAATTTACCACCACTTTTCTTTTTCACAAAACAACCACGTATCTTTTTGTTTATTTTTTTAGCCACTCAAAAACAGGAATGTTACATACAATACGAGATTACATAAACCGCTTTAATGGTTAATCGATTATGTGATTCCTTGTATTAAATGCGTATAACATCCAAATTTGTCTCAAAAATGGTTTTGAATAGTAAAGTGCAACAGGATAAAACAAACGAATAACAAATAGAAGATTTCTAGTACAAACGACGAGTTTTCCCAATTTCTTTTAAAGATCAGTCGTAAAACCCGAATGTTCAAATATAATATCTAATCGTGGGTTATAACCAAAACCCTCGTTTTCCGCAAATCGATAGCATTTCCATCCACATAATGGAACCACCTCATCTTCAACAATCGTACAATGGCAATGCCAGCAAAACTAATCCTCGGTAAATGTTTGTCTTTCTTCTATATCAGTGTACCTTGCTCGAGATTTGTCATTTGAAACACAATCTTCCTCGTTCGTGGTTTTCCTCTTGTTCTTCGACAAATACGGTTTCAGCTTGTCAACGTCTGACAATCGCACCGGTTTAAGAAAAAACTCCTCCGCTCCTTCTTCCAAACATCTAATGAATACCAAGTTTACCGTAAATGTCAAATGTCTAAAACGCCTTTCGACAAAGACAAAACGAAGGAATGTTGGAAACCATACCCAACAATAACTTGTTAACCAAGATCAAAAAGTTACCAAAAATGATGGAAATAGATTGTGAGAGGAAAACCGATAAGGGTAAAATGGTAATTTGACATGTAAATTTGAATTCACCTATTTATCCTGGATGGGACATTCTCAGAGGACATGATCACAACTGGTATGTCTTTCAGTGATGTTGATTCCTGCAAGTACCACAACATTATATTGGTTAGTCCATGTTTTCCCATCTAAGTGAACCTAAATGACCCCCCACCCCCACCCCCAACCAAAAAATAACTCATACACACACATCAACATCATTGTTTTCAACGTTATGATTTGATCTAAAAAGGTTTAAATAGCAGGACCCTTTTACAGACCAAGCTCTGATCCAACCATGGGAAAGTTTGAATCTAAAGGTCTGGGGTCCAAGAGATCCCTCACAATCCCGATGGGCCTTCCGGTCTTTAATCGATCCCTAGATCGCACATTAATGACTAAAGATGACTCGGTTTTATGCACATGGAAACACGTGCCATATCTTAGGAGAAAGATGTTAAAAATCAAGCAATTTTTTAACACTAAGAGTAACTAAATAAGATCAAATCTCACCTTGATTTTTCTCAATAGTTCAAAACCAGTCATCCCAGGCATACAATAATCTGTAATAATCAAATTCACCTTCACTTCCTGGATTCATTGAAGAACAAAGCAAAACCAACATTAGAATCAACAAGAAACCCATATAAAACAACCCTTCACAAAACCAATTTTATCATTGAAAAATCAGAAACATTTCATTTTGACTTTTGGTGGTCAAACCTGGACTTCTGCAAATTCAAAATTTAGAAAAACTTTCTTGGTTCTCTAATGAAGTTTTCCATATTCTCTAATGAATTCATCATTTCTTTCAATTCAAAGAAACCAATCCTGTAAATTTCAACTTGAATTACAATCATTTGATCATTTCAAAAGTCAAACGTTGACTTGTTTCTGGGTGGAAGGTAAAGGATAGCTTAAAAAGATCACAGGATGGATAACAAAAATAGCAAACTTTAACAACAAAAAAGAGAGATAAAAAGGGATTCATACTGGATGACATTGTTCAGGAGAAAAAGATTGAAGTTTTTCAACATCTTGTAGACCCAAAAACTCCAAGGCCTTAGTTCCAGAATCCACAGCAGTAACTGCAGCAAGCAAACGCAAAAAGAATTGCAAATCTGAATCAACACAAAATTTGAATAAAACCCATTTCAAAAAATGATGAAATGAACAGGGCTTACCATTATAAGAAAACGTCTTTAGCAGGCGCTCAATCAATTTTCTATCAAGATTGCTGTCATCAACTGCAAGAACATGAAGAGGGGCATCTGTGACTGCAATAACACCCATTTTAAAAAATTTGAGGATGAAGAATTGCAAATTGGGGGGGTTTTAAGAGGACCCATTTGATTTTGTGGAGGTGGGATTTCAAGATTTTGACAGTTTGGAAAAGAATATCCGACCAGATATGATTTTCCGAATCGTTGAGGATCTTTTTGAGTTGATTTTTCAGCAATGGAGAACAAGCAACGAAGTTTCAATTTTTATTTTAATTTGCTTCTATTTTTAGTCAATTTTCAAATTTCTGCCCCTATTTCACATTTTTTTTGTAGTTTGACCCTAACTTTTCAAATTTTATACACATGGATACATCTCGATTTATCATCTTGATATCTTAACAGAGAGATTCAAGTTCGATTTCAGGCATGGGCATGCACCGTGCATGGTCTTACGACTTTGTAGAAAGCATAGTTTTTGATAAATAATCGTCTCTTCTTGATCATGAAGACCTTTTTGCGAGGAGTATGGTTGTATAAAAAACCAATGAATCCTACCAACCGAACTCGAAGCCACTGATATCTAATCAAATTGTAAAATTCTTAAACCATGTCTTGTGATGAAATTAAGCAATGCTCAATTGAACCTTACCCAACCTGACACAAACTCATCCCCCATAATTATCATTTTTTGTGGATAGACCTCTCTTTACAGTTTATATGTCAGATTAGTCCCTTAAAATCTAAATTCATATGTTCAACTCGTGCAAGTCTCTCTCTTGCACTCACAGCTTCACTTTAGTCACACCCACCAAGTCTTTCCCCGTCTTTAGAGCCCAATCAAGTCATCTTCTTTTCTAGTCCCAATAATGTCCGACCTAAGAAAGCTTGGTCTTAAGAAGCTTGATCACGCACTCTTTCAATCCTAAAGCCTAGCTAGGGCCTCGTAAAAAGCAAGCTTGTCTTATGCATCTCTACTTCAATCCGTCCTAGTCAGTTGGGTTAGGTTAAGTTATGTTTTATACTTTAAAAACATGTTGTGGTTTTTCAAAAATACTAATCGGCTTAGGTTGGTTAAACAGGCTAAGCCAACCCATATGCAGCCCTAGTAAAGAGACACCCTATTTTTTTTCGAAGTTGTTTGGTTAATTTGTCGAAATTCTCCAAAGAAAATATTCTCTACCTATCCATTTTTGTCCGTTCCAGTTTCATTTCTTGGTCAGAAAAAAGGAAATTTATTTGACTTGTGCATATTTGCAAGAGGATTTTGCATGCTAAGGTGGAGAAAATTTCGACACCTCTATTTTCACACACATGAATTTCATTTTGTTATAGTCTATCCTTAAAATAACTCTAACAAATATATATATATATATATATATATATATATRTATATATATATGTGTGTGTAATATCACAACATATTTGATGTAAAATTAAAATATTTTAGAAATATTCTTACACCAAGTTTTTTTTTTTCACTCCAACAAATTTTCACACCAAATCTTTTTAATTATATTAAATATATTCATAATATGTTAGTATAATTAGATTATTTTACATACAAAATTATAAAGAAACTATTTTATTTATAAAAAGAAAGAATTTATTTTTAATTAAATACCCCCACATACATGCATATTTTAATTGTACATTCATGTAGTATATTTTTTTTTATAATCACTATTGTAGTTTATTTATAATTATATGGTGTATTTTCTTACCTTTTTAATTATTTAAAAAATTAATTAATAAAACAATAATAAGAAATAAACATTTTAAGTAAATTATCATATTAAATATTAAGGTTATTTTGAAGGTCTCAACGGTATTGTTTTTAATGATATATTTTTCTAAGATAATGCCGTGATCCTATCGAATCTATAACAATAAGATGATTATTCCTGTTTGTTTGGAATAAATAGATTTCATTTGTCAGTTTCCATTGTGGAAGATCAATTTTTTCTGAATAATTTAATATATTTTCATTTTAAATAATTAAAAATTATGTAAATAAGAATATGATAAAGATAAAAATAAAATTCTTAATACTAAAAGGGTTAATGTAAATATATCAAAACATAGACAAAATAAAATATCTCATTATCTATTTTTGTTTTTTCAAACAAAAGCAATTTAATTTTAGTAAATGGCCTTTTTTTCTAAATTTTGCTACTAATTTGAGATTGGCATATGTGATCCCTAAATGAATCAATAACCATGCAACTTTATAGGGTAGAAGTCGTGTCGGTGTCTAGAATCTTCTAAAATTGATAGTGAAACTGTAGAACAATGAATCGCTTGAAGGTTATGATATAGATTTTGAAAAAAGAATCCAATAATAATGTATACAGATGTTGGTCTCAGCCGGATCTATAAGAGTTTATAGGTAATCAATTTGCAAAAAGGGAGGAGATGAATACAATCAGAGAAACTTTCACTTTTAAAAATTATATATTGATAAAGAAGATCGATACAAATTTTATAGATTGTTTGCGGAAGAGATAAGGTAAAGAGCTTATCTAAACAATCCAAGATACACACAAGATTACAAATAGCAAAGAGAAAAGATTTGCTACAAGAAATAAAGTAAGAATGAATGTGCTCTTCACTTACTAAAATAGATCTTTCTCTTAGACAAAGAGTAATGAGAGAAGTAACTTCTTGGGTAAGTTCTTAGTGAGGAAGATGATAACTGAGAGGAGAATCACTTAGCTATTTATACCCATTGCATTAAATGCAATTTAGAAGGTACAAACAACATATCAAACTTTAGGAAGAAAGCTTGTCTTTTGTTCAGATTTGGCAGACCCTTGGCCGTATGTGAACAGTCTTCTTTCATAAGGCAGGTAAGCACGTTTAGAGTCAAGGAGTGGCTCTGTACTGTACTATACTTAGAAAGGTATGGGTTTGTCCTTTGTGTGTGGGAGGACAAGAAAAAAACAATTTTGCTCAACAAGTTTCATTTGATCGTTGAATATTGGGATGACGCTGAAAGGTTTCTTCAGTGTTCACTAAATCTTGCACAGACTTCACACATATGTAGACGAGCTTGTAATCACTGAATACCTCTTCAGATCACGAACTTGCTGGTCTCTAATATTCAGCTTCTGTCTTCGACATTGCTGAAGGATATGTGGTGTGAGTTTTGTCTTCTCGAGTATAACAGTCTCTGAACTATTTACAATACACGTTCAGTGATCACTACACAAACTCAGTGAAGATTGTTGAAACTGAATGATAGAAACAATATACTTCGATAGATAAAATGGATCATCATCAAATCAATGAGAGAGAGAATCAACAATCTCCACCTATTTGATGATGACAAATCAACATAAAAAAATTGTTTAAGTTATAATAGTAAGGAAAAGGTACAAATAAAATACATGTCCTTTTTAACTATTTTGGGATCTTTTTCCATGATAAAATTTACTTATGTTAATTTACTTAAGTTTGTAAAGGATTACAAATTCAAGGATAAATTGATATAAATAAGATAACTGAAACTAAAAGCATATTCATTGACTAGAAAGTTGTTAGTGAATGAAAGAGAACTGGAACTCATAGATACTTGTCCCTATCACTCTTTTCAGGGATCTTTTTGAGTGACACTGAAGATTTCATTGTATATTCATCAGTGGAAAATAAAACAAGTCATTTATCAGTACATGATAGATTTATTACATATAGATTATACAATGAAAGAAAAGAAAAGAAAACAAGATATTACAAGATAGAAAGATATCTATTCTAAGTCATTGAAGTCGATATACCCTGGTACATCTTATCTGAGCTTCTTTCGTCTTAGTATATCCTTTCTGATCCTGCGATTCATCACTTCACCAGCTAGGTTATTGTCTAACCAAGACCTGAGATACTCCAGATGGTCTATAGGATAGAGGTGGAACTCGGATACTCGCTGGAAGCTGCATTCGCCATCATAGTCAATGAATATTAATCCATACTCAGGCTTCACATGCACAGTGGCAGTATTAGGTTCAACTTTGAGATATCCGGCTTCTTTTGATCATTCAGGATTTCTTACAAGGAGAACTTTGTTTCATGTTCATTCCTATGGGAAGATCCATCTTCAGGATCTGAAAGGTATCTTCGTCTTGAGAGCGGCTTCTCGGGCACAGGAAGGACATCAAAAAACATGGACACCTTCTTGAAGAGCTCGTTCAGGATGTCTTCGATTATTATCTTGTGCTTGGACTTTGAGCACTGAATGGCTTGTCGTATCTCCAACCATTCATCGTAGTCGTACTGTCCAAGATAAGAAGGATACTCGGTGACAGCTTCTTGGTTCTTTCTGCAGATGACCATAGAGATGAGAAGTCCACCATCCTTCATCCGTCCACTGATGGTGACGTTTAAGATCCTATGGGAACATATTCTCTTCTTCATCCTTTTGTTGCACCATCTCTGGTTGCGGTCTTTCAGCATCAGCATTCTCTGATATTCGCGTTCAGCTTGTGAGAGCAACTGAGCCTGAACCTTGACCGGATTCTTCAACTTCAACTCCCCTTTGGCCAGAGCTTTGACGACTAGAGATTTGGCCAACTTAAAGTTGTCTTCCATCTGTTGTCGCTGAATGCGTAGCTCTTCCTCGGCCATCAGGGCTTCCTCGCATTCAGCGTCAGTGAGGAAGTCAAACTCACCACAACCAGAGGTATGAAAATGGATTTTTACTCTGGTTTGGTCGAGTTGACTCCTCAGCTGAGTCATCCTTTGGTCGTTGAGAGCTCCAGATGTTAGAATAGATGAAATCCTTTCATCTGGAGGACCAAGGGGGAACGTTGGTGCATTGATAAGAATGGAGGCTTCAGATTAACAAGTAAAAGGAACAAAAGTGGAGCTCCGTGCAACTTTGTTATGGTCTATCTTCTTGAAGATGATAGCGAGGTTGCCTTTTTCAGCCACTTCTTTATTCTTGCCGGAGGAGGGCTGGTTCCCTTTGTTTTTCTCTCCCTTAGGGAGACACCCTTTTGAGTTGGTGCTGGTCTTGGCTGGTATTGGATTGTGAAGTCGTCATCGTCTTCATCGTCATCATCAACTCCAAGATCATGTCCAACATCAGGGAAAGGAAGATCTTCATCATCTTCATCATTACTTTCCTCATCACCGACATT